AGACAGAATGCAACTCCCACCGAAGGAGTTTGTGACTTGCCTAGACATCATCCAATCATGTTTCAGCATCAATAAACTGCAATGTCATTGGCAAATTTTCATGTTCGCACCAGCGAAATTTTCGAATGGTGGACAAAATTATCCTTCCCGATTTCAGCAAGCTCAATGCTACCCGTCTCCTAGAGACGATTCTGGTCGCGAAGTTGCTCATGTCCTTGGTGTACCTAGCCGCACCAAGCGAATATGACATAATCAGCGAGATGGGCACTTGCCATACGATACCTTCAAGAAACGCAGGAAGATCGAACCGGGCGGTCGATGCGGGGTATTTCCCGATTCAAGAGGTTTAGTCGATATTTAAATGTTAGAGTTAATCTATGCTAGAGACCACTGAGATTGTCACATGGATCAAACAAACTACATCATCGAGAATGGCAGATGTCCTGCCTTGCCATCAAGAAGTCGACAGCAGACTACGCCACGCTCCTCATACCCCTTCAACGATTCTGCTCTCACCACGGATTTTCTTACTAACCCTGCCAAAAACAAGCTCAAACTAAACGTGTTTGACGGAGATCGACGATGATATCGCCAACGAATTCCACCACGAATACCGTCTCTACTAGAAAGACAGCGTATACAACGTCGATGATACGGGGATGTACTACAACCAACCTCCCAGATCAATGTGAGAAGTACGTGGTGGCAGCTTCAAGATAATTACCAATAAATGCACACAATTCGCATGAGCGCGGTGCTACCAGCAAAAGCAAGTGGTGAGATTTGCCTCTATTAATCATCACGCGTGACGTACGTGATGGCCGGTTTGAAACAAGCAAGTTCCATACGTTTCCCAAGAAAGCCCAGTACGCGATGCAAGCGAATGCCCGGATGGATGCACGCGTGTGTGCACTTTACCTGCTTGACATCCTTGGCCGTGGTATTGATGGCCCTTCGGTTGTGCTTGTGGACAACTTCTAAAGCCATGTTTCCTATATATCCTGTGGTGCAAGGCACCTAAACAGTGCCTTGCACCTTGTAGTGTTTAGTAAACACTACAAAAGCGCCATTCTGAGATGTCGACGTTTTATTGCTAAACGCTAATCCTTGCATCATTGAAGTTAAACCAATCTCGACTACGTTTTTCCCCATGGCAAGTTGGTAAAATGTCAAAAAAATCCGGATGCGTAGGTAAATTCGTACGGATAATTGAATGCATACACATCAAGATTTCCGTGTGCGCCAATATTTACCTGAATCCCATATACTTCTTAAAAATGGACCCAAAGAGACCACTTGGTATAAATTCAATTACTCGATTATTATTGCACCCATTATTACTCACCAATCGACAATCCGAACCGAAGCTTGTGTTGGGCCTTTACGGGCCTATCGAAATTACGGCTTCTTTACGTACACATGTCAATTAGAAGTTAAACAGATGTAGGAATGCAAGCCAAGTTGTACTATCTGTGTCCCGAAATACTTGAGTACCACTCTGTTTGGCAATTATTGCAGACAAGTCGAATTTGTCATCTTTCCCTGCTCGGATTGGCCTAAAATTGAGTGGCTAATCGAAGCACATTATGATCCATACGAGCATATTTTTAATCCATTCTACTTGCAAAACTGCCAACGTGAGGTCGATGCAAACAACTCATACAATATCCAAGTCAAATCTGGCTGACGACCAGAGAGGTGCGCTATATGAAGAGCTACTCCTGGTTAGTGTAAACGGGAAACTGTCGCGTGCGGCCATTGCGTCAGTTGCAACCACCTTTGGCGTGCACTCGTCGACTGTGTCAAGGATCTGGCAACGCCGCCGATAATCGACACTACCAACGTGAAGTCACGAGTTGCCAACGCTGGATACCCGAAAACCTACACTGTGTCTGAAATCGAGCAACGAATCAAAGCGACACTAGCCCAACGACAGACTAACGTGCATTGGCAGCGACATTTGGCGTTTCCACGTGGACGACCTGGAACTTCATTCAAAACATGTGGGTCACACGACCAAACCCAGGCTGACACCGGAGCACAAGTAACGGCGCTTGAACTTCTGCACAATGATCATGCATGACTACAGTAAGCAAAATGACAATGAGTTGTACAATATCGTGCACATAGATGAAAAATGGTTTTACATTACCAAGCTGCGCCGGCACTTCTACCTTTGGTATGACGAAGAGAACATGCCACGGCACGTTCAATCGATGAGCCGCATCAAATAAGTGATGTTCCTCGTTGTCGTTGCTCGGCCGAGAAATTGATGGGATGGGAAACTTGGCTGCTGGACCTTCGTGTCACGTTGTCCAGCCCAACGAACCAGCGTGAATCGACTTGCTGGCACAATCGCCACCACAACAATGAACGTCTCCAAGCCTGTGTACCGATCTTTCCTTGTCGATAATGTTATTCCAGTGATCAAGACTAAGTGGTGTTGGCTTACCGATAACAACGATGGCATTTTCTATCTGCAACAGGACAGTGCTCGTGTCCACGTTGCCGCCGATGACCCTGCAGTGAATCTGGCTGTCCAGAACTCATCGTTTTCAATCCAAATCCGAAACCAACCTGCCCAAAGTCCAGATCTAAATGTGTTAGATTTGGGCTTTTTCAACTCAATTCAAGCGTGGCAACAGACCAAGGAACGCCAAACGATTGATGACCTGGTGCATGCTGTGGAGAAGTTCTACCACGACTTGTCTCCGAAAACGTTGGGAAATACGTTCGGTACCCTGCAGCGCGTCATGCAAGCCGTCGTCAAAGCGAATGGTGACAATAGTTGCAAGATCCCTCGAAGTAAATACAAAGATGACGACATGGCTACGTTGGAGGAGTTGGACCAGCGAAGTGAAGAAGAGAGCCGTCTGGACGAATTGAGTGAGCTTGTCGACATCATTGCAGTCTAAACTTTTTAAATGCAGATTCTTCATACTTGGATTTTGTATGGCCTAAGTATTCGTCTGCAATTATTGCTAAACACAGTGGTAGATCAGAATACGCGTATACGGATCCTTGAATAAGAGTATGTTCACGGTATAAAATTATTCTACATATCCAATTTCATGGGTGTAAGGAACGATGAAATCAAAGAAAATGAGTGTCTCAGAACGAATCAAACGGGCAGATAAGACATTTCTGACAGTGCCATTCGATCCCGGAGGGGGTTTACTCCGAAACCCTCTTATGTAAGAACCCACCAACTTCACACAATAACTACACTAGCTATAGCTTAGCCTTTACTTGCTCAGTAGTGCAGGCCATCTTTCTTCCCAACCTAGCCCTTCTTTCTGCTGGCAACTGACACCTTCATGTTGCCGTCGATAACTCCCTGCTGCTTGGCCGTGAACTTTCTGCGGTTGGTAGAGTGGTGACAGTCATACTTGACCGCTAACACCTGTGCGATACCCCTGGGCAATCGAGACCAGGAAGTCTTGCTGCTGCTGAGCAGGATCTTCCGAAGGATGGCCTCACGGACTTCGTTCGTCACGTCACGCTTGTTTACACGCATAATGATTGGTCACAGATTTATTTGAGTTAAAGTATGTAAAATTCAAGGGGGACTTGGGTTAATGTTCCTGCGAATTTCCTCCTCATTGACTCATGCATCTGAAGCTCGTGGCGTACTTGCTCCTTTGGACCAATCAAGCACATGAATCAAACGTAAGGAAGGAAACAGACAAGTTTAATCATAACATCCAAAACAAAAAATGACGTATCACGACCCCCCCTCCGTATAACACCTAAGTATTGTTGGACGGAGGGAGTCGTAGTTTTTGGTGTTGCTCCATACAAGATCATGTAGGAAAAACTTGGAGCTCGCCTACGTCGCAGCAGAAGCGCCTGGCCATGGTGAAGCGTGCCATCTTTGCCAGGGATAGTATCGTCTTGAGTTATACATCAGAACTTTGAAAATGCTCTTCCAGATTTTAAATTTCATTGGTTTGTATTTTTACTGCATACAATGTCCAATGTGTGGAAAGAGAATTTCTATAGGACATCCTTATAGAAAAAGCTCAACGAGCCTGGGACTTCTTGCTGGGACTAATTCAAGACTCACAATGTTTATACAACTGCTTTATCGCGTCGTATGCTTTGGTTAACGAACTGACCATTGCATCGATCGGATATCTGTGGCCCTTGAACTGTGTAGACATACAGCGAAGGGCGGCATGGTACGCCAGAGTGGTCATCGAAGAATTTTCAATACTGGAGTATGATTGGGCCAGGAGATTGTACTAGGATTCAACTTTCAGCCAAGTTGTATCCAATCGGCGCATATATAATCTTTGCTGGACTCTGTAGTCAAAACAATTGCAGGCCGTGAAATGAATGAGCACTTTGTCATTGTAATACGGACTCTTGCTGACATAGACTTACAGGAATTTTGTCTTGTTTGACACTGTATGATGTGCACTCTGAAAAGATAGATAATCGTTTCACGCAGTGGTGCAACGGTCAGTGCGACGGCATCAGAGTTATTGAGGCGGATCAAGCATTTTCCAAAACTGAAAGTATATTACAATCGCAAAAATACGATACGATACAAAAATGCAGGCTTCGACTGCTGGACGAAAAATTTCCATCACTATTTTAATCCGTATTTTCAGCTGCTCAACTTCAGCAATCACTTGCATAGGTAGGACCATTTCAAAGCTGGGGCGAGTATCGTCGACATTGGCCTTCTCACATGCTCGAATCGCTCGCTTGATCATTTGCGAGGCGCTTGAGGTGATGAGTTCATCCTCACCGTCGATGATCACTTCGACTAACCACGCATCGCGAAGGTACCGTTTGAAGGGAGCCATGACACCCACGTTTAGGGGGTTTTCGGAGCGACTTTTCGTCAGCCATTTTTGGAGTTCGACAAACAACGCTGACATTTCATCGACTTTGGGAACATTCAATCGACAAACACAATTGGTCAAAACAATAGCCAATGAATAATGTCCATTCATGACCATCCAAACGACTCTTGCCATTCATCGACTCGAATGTCGTCGTCCACGTCACTGAAGGCTCCACCAACAAAGCGTGCCGCCAAAGTCAAGAGGGCTGTGACGGCTGAAAAGTCTGCCAAGACTGTGTGGACCGCCGACATGGTGTCGACGCTGTTGGATCGGCGTTGCGACGACTTCGCGGCAAGCTTTGAACTACATAGAAGCGCAGCTCAATTGTCAGTCTTGTGGGGAAAGATCGCTTTGGCTGTAAATGTACAACATGGAACAAACATATCAGCGTTGGCAGCAAAGAACAAGTATTCCAGCCTTAAGCGCGAGTACTCTGCCATCCGAATGGCCGAGAAAGAAACTGGAAATGCCCCCCCTGTGGTGTACCCCATGTATTGGGACTGTCTTGTTTCGGCTCTGGGCAGCAAGGAGTCTGAGCCGAGGTCAATAGTCCAATTGTGCAACACTAAAGTTGCCTCAATTACCATTGCCATTTTCTTTGCTGACTTGAATTCCAAAGGCTTTTTGAACAATCGAAACTTGTTTTTCCACAAACCAAAGCATTGCTCGACAACGATTCGAGTGCGCGAGTGAACCAAGTTGTAGTGAGCCTCAGCACTGTCCATATTGGGTACAATTTGAAAAGGAGTGAGAACATGGGACAACAGAGTAAATCCAGCGTCAGCGAGGATTAAACCACCAGGGGGAATGATCTTGTATTGACCAAGGACAGAGTTCCGGAACAACATGCGATCGTTCTGCGACCCTGCACGCAGCGAGTACGCCATGAATCGCTTCCTGTCGTCGACCAAGGCCAACAAATTGAAATACAGGAAAACCTTTTCGACAGTACCAACCAACCTTCATGATCTCTGAATCGCTTGATCATGACAAGGCACCCATCCACAGCACCACACACATTTGGAAAGCCAGCAATGTTTTCAAAACCGTTTGAAATGGCAGACCACTGCGACAACGTTGACGGCAGAGTAACAGTGAGACCCAAATGAACATGTTGTAGCAAAATCAAAACTTCCAGCACATGCTCGTGAGCTTTTGTAGTTCCAATGCCAAACACGAGAGCAGTACAATCGAGACCATCACAATGAGTTAGGTAGTACAATGTCAAAGCCGTTCGGTCCATTATATCCAAACGTGACGATGGGTGCAAAGGATCGTGCATCTTGTGCCACGACAGTTCGATTCGTTTTGAAATCTCCAAAACGGTTGCACGCGTACAGCGCAGATATCGGACAAACCACTCATTCTGACCACCACTGGCTTTGATCTTGCGCCACACAGAGACACCATCAACAACATACGTGTTCCTGCG